TACAATAAAATAAATATTCTTTACTATTGTTTAACCTATGAATTCTACTATTACTTGAAATTGCTACTGCTACTGCTACTTGAAATTGTTACTGCTACTTGAAACTGACATTGCGAAATTTTGCGCAGAATTTTAAAAAAATCCTGCATAGATCTACATTTTGTTGCAGATTTGCGCAGATTTTTTAAATTTTTTTCTTTACCAATTGTCACCAGGTTCGAAGTTTTGCGCAGATTTTTGGACTCAAAGATCTGCGCAAAACTGTGCTCTCAAAAATTTTCCGATGATATATCAAAGAGTAAAAAGGCTAATTGAGTATATCTTATTATATTAATATGTAAATCAAGATAATTTAAAATCAAGCTAAATTTTCATATAAAAAATTAAAAAGTAATATTAAAAAACAAATGATAATTTGAAAAATATCTTTTCAGTATATTCATTGTTCTCGCAATTTTTTGACTCCTTATGCTCTTAAATGTCATATTTCTAGTAAATACCCTATTTCAACCCAATCTGAAGAATCTGCTTTTATTCTTCCTATTGCTTCACTATCTATTTATGAGAAATTCAGGTTATGGAAAGATCTTGAAATTACTTCTAATTATTTATTAAATTCCTCAAATATATTAAAGAGTGAAGAAAAAATGGCAATAATATCAGAGTATGAAGAAATGGTAAACTAAAATAATATAATACATTATTATTTAATATTTTTATATGATATACTAATTATTCAATCTATAGATTCAAATTACTCAGATGATTTGAAATCGAGAATGTTATTTATAAATATAAAAGAAACATCTAACCTTACAATTCCATTCTCAATTCTCGTGGAAGACTCTAAAAAAATATCGCTAGATGACGCTATTAATGATCGTATATATTCACAAGAAGTTGAGTGGCCAAACAAAGTTTATCACAGCTTTATGAAACTTATAACAGAGTATTAATTATCAAATGTCTGTGATGATAAAATAATTAAATGATTTAATACAAGTGCTAACATAAAAGAAAGTCCTTTACCTAAAAGTACCAAAGAGGATCGTGAGTTTCTTAATAATACTGAATTTTCATATCTTAATTTTAAAGAAGCACCTATAACCAATTTTCAAGAAACAGAATATATTTTTTATTACTGATCAATAATTCAAAGTATTAAAGCTCTTCTACTTCAACCTGAGCTAGCAATAAATTCATTTTATCATATCAAAAAAAAACTGAGATTAAAAATGGTCAGGAATTACAGGTTTATGGTAAACAATTCAAGAGTGAGTGATGGAAAGAAACAGAATTGACCATACCTCTTAATAACTGATTACTATCGATTATTCTTTACTCTAATGCAACAACTTGTGATCAATTAGGAAAAACAACAGAATATCTTATATATTTTTCACTTAGTAATATTCCTAATTAATAGTGAGATAAGTCTTATGTTAAGATACTCATTGGATATTTATCAAAATTAAAAGCTAAAGATATATATACACGAAATACTGAGTCATTCTGGCAATTACAAAGACAAGTCTTCCAATAGTGTCTTCGTATATTATTGACACCTATCTTAGATCAACAAGATATGTATTTCATAATAAAGGATCAAATATACACCTTTACACCTAAAATATTAGTTATTCTCGCAGACATGGCAGAAGCTGGATTATTTATTGGAACATATCTTCTATCAATATCTAAGTGACCTTGTCATACTTGTTATGTGACTAATGAAAATTTTAATAATATGGGGTTATCTAATATAATTCTCTGAATACCAGAAAAAATGCAAGCAATAATTAATGCAGGATGATCAAAAAAATATTCGATTCATGAAGAGAATAATTTCTTATGGAATTTTGGATTAGTGCAAAATCTTTTTAATAATTGATTGATCTTCATCTTTTTGTGTTCCTATGCCATTTCGATAGCAATAACCAACATAATTTTGTCCTGTTGCATTTCCATTTTCCGCTGATTTCATGAACCACTCAAACGCTTTCTCTTCATCTTTTTGTGTCCCTATTCCATTTCGATAGCAATCACCAACGTGATTTTGTCCTGTTGCATTTCCATTTTCCGCTGATTTTATGTACCACCCAAACGCTTTCTCTTCATCTTTTTGTGTCCCTATTCCATTTCGATAGCAATAACCAACGTAATTTTGTCCTGTTGCAAGTCCATTTTCCGCTGATTTCATGTACCACTCAAATGCTTTTTCTTCATCTTTTTGTGTTCCTATTCCATTTAGATAGCAATAACCAACGTAATTTTGTCCTGTTGCGTTTCCATTTTCCGCTGCTTTCATGTACCATTTAAACGCTTTTTTTTTTTCTTCATCTTTTTGTGTTCCTATTCCATTTTCATAACGATAACCAACCTGATTCTGTCCTAAAGCATCACAATTGTCCGCTGATTTCATGTACCACTCAAACGCTTTTTGTGTTCCACTTCGATAGCAATAACCAAGAGTATTTTGTTCTGATGCATTTCCACTTTTCGCTGATTTCATGAACCACTCGAATGCTTTTCCTCCATCTTTTTGTGTTCCTATTCCATTTCGATAGAAATAACCAAGATTATTTTGTCCTATTTCATTTCCATTTTCCGCTGATTTCATGAACCACTCGAACGCTTTTTCTTTATCTTTTTGTGTTCCTATTCCATATTGATAGCAATGACCGAGATTATTTTGTCCTTGCGCAAGTCCATTTTCCGCTGATTTCATGTACCACTCAAACGCTTTTTCTTCATCTTTTTGTGTTCCTATTCCACTTCGATAGCAATGACCAAGATTATATTGTCCTGCTCCATTTCCATTATCCGCTGATTTCATATACCACTCAAACGCTTTTTCTTCATCTTCTTGTGTTCCTATTCCATATTGATAGCAATAACCAAGATTAAATTGTCCTGATGCATCACCATTTTCCGCTGATTTCATGTACCACTCAAACGCTTTTTCTTTATCTTTTTGTGTTCCTATTCCATTTAGATAGCAACAACCAACGTAATTTTGTCCTGTTGCATTTCCATTTTCCGCTGATTTCATGAACCACTCAAACGCTTTCTCTTCATCTTTTTGTGTTCCTATTCCACTTCGATAGCAATCACCAAGATTATTTTGTCCTGATGAATCACCATTTTTCGCTGATTTCATGCACCACTCAAACGCTTTTTCTTCATCTTTTTGTGTTCCTATTGTATCTAAAGACACATTATTATTTTTGTTTATACCTTTGTTATTAATTATTTTGTTAGATGTTGAGGGTGATTGGGACTCTATTTTTTCATGACTGACCGATTCATTAGTGTGGTTATAATAAATTTTTAAATAATCTGAATCTTCTTGTTTTTTGTGTTTTTTAGAAGCGAAAGAAGAAACTGAAATAGAATCTTCTTGTCTTTTGTGTTTTTTAGAAGCGAAAGAAGAAACTGAATTAGAATCTTCTTGTACTTTAGAGGCGGAAGAGCGCTGCTTGGAACTAGTTGATTTCTTATGATAATATTCGTCGTCGGAGTCGTCATCTCTTTTTTGTTCTTTGGATATATTATTTTCATTAATTGCTAGAACATGATTAGTGTTATCTACTGAATTACCCACTGCAGAAGTTATCGATGTAGATTCTGTATTAAGAATTTTTTTAAAGGAAGATATATCCATTTTTTTCGTGTTTTTCTAAATGTCAAAGTGCTTATTTATGCGTAATGTGGGGATGCGATAAAGCATTGTACCCACGTGACCAGCTTCAAAATTTTACCGTGCAATTAAAGTCAGGGTAATATTAATAATCCAAGATAGGTTTAGACATTAGTTTTCTCGTAATATTAACATTTTTTGTCGATTGTCAAAAATTTACGCATATCTATTGGTTTAATATCACGTGGATACAACGCTTTACCGCATCCCGTAATGTGTAAATATAACTAGTAACGATCAACAGACATGTCATGTCTATTGCATTTATAAGAGAATCGATCAACATAAAACAATGAAAAAACCTGTTAATTTTTTATGGTTATAAGTGAAATCATCATATTTACAAAAAAATGTTTTAATAGATATGAATGGATTTCAAGACCAAGAGGTATTATTCATCATAAGAACTACTTTTTTTGGTAAAAGCACCACATTTTAATCCATCATGAACTAAAGCTCAAGTCACCTAACAAAGATCATCAATAATTGATCTTTTATCGATCGACAGAACATGTCCGAAACTGCACTTACTATGCACGTAGACAATAGAAACTCTGCGAATTTCCTATGTAAATTTCGAAATGACTACCTTGGCTCTATAACTTTCTCGCAATTCTGCAACTTACTTGACCAGTAGTATTAATAAAAATGGTGCGCTTAGAGGTATAGTTTGTATGGTTCAAAGCTTTTATTCATAGAGACATAGGGTTTTAGTCCATCTCAAGTTAAAGAAACTAATTCAGAATAAAATAGGCGACAAATGTAAAAAAACACGTGTTCACACTTATAGTACAGCAAGATTCAAGTCCTGTTTTTTTGTTTCTTATTCATATTCTTTTAAGTATTGTCTACTTATCGTTATTAATTTTTCGTTATTTTTGGCCAGTTTCTTTATCGCTATTATAGCTTCTAGTTTACACACACACGTTGCATGGATTATACACTTAACGAGATTTCTGACAGTTTAGAATACAACGACCCGGATAAAGACTATGAACTTCTTGATGATAATGATGATGACGATGACGATTATGATGACGAAGTTCCTGATTCCCGAACTCAACCACCACCACCACTACTAATACTAGCAATACCAACGCCAACATAGACTCATCAAATTACAATAATGCTGACCTGTGTTTCGACGAAAAAACTTTTAATTTAATTCATGACTTAATCAAACAGACATCAAATGAGTACGAACAAATAGAAGCGAGTGTGGATTGGTTGGCGTCTGATATCGATCAGTCAGAAGTGGAATCTGTATGGACAATACCAACTGACGAAGCTGAAGATATTGATTATTTCTATTTTAAAAGTCGAAGAACCTGATCATCAATGTGTAATTATCGATGCGATTAATGATAAAGTTCAAAAGTGTTCCAATCCTGTATTTTGTCCGATCAAACAACTACAAGGAACGTGGGAATTGGATTTTGCATCTGTAGATGAGAAAATAAATAAATACGGAAATAAATCTTTACAATTATTAGGCGTATGCTCTAATCACTTTAATTTTGATCAGGATGGAATTCATAAAAGGGGATCAAAGAAAAAAGTTTCGATTGAGGAGGCCTTGATCCATCGGCGTCGTTGTCTATTCTGTCACAAACACAAATACTTTTTTAGTAGAGGTAGTTGCGATGCACATTCTTGGAAGATTTTAGGACGCAATCTACAAGCACCTTGCATCGGATTAGAGGAATGTCCAGTTTATAAAGAGGATAATTTTTCACAGAGATCGTTAAGTAATAATCGTGCGCGTTATACCTGTTCTTGTTTCTTAGCAGAGGGTGGACATTTTATTGAACGCAAGGGAAGAGGGAATAAAAAAATCAAATGCTTTGATCAACACAAAAATGAATCTTCTAAATTCTTGGAGCTTATTGGACGATGGATACAAAGCATGGCAACGTTTCCTAATGATGATATTAAAAACGTACTTCTGAAAGAATTATCAAAAACGCTTATTACTTTTTTTGAGAAAAAATTGAAAATTGAAAAATGAAAAAGATGAATCGAAGTCAGAGCTTTTATTACAACCACCTAGTTTTCTTGCTCTGAAAACATTATTACGCTTAACAAAGTCAATCTTTGCAAACTTCAGGATTCGGAAAGGTATTACGACTTAATTAGAGAAAATCCTAATACATTTATAAATTTTTTCATGTATTCTCTAAGTCTTAGAAAACAGATTCAATCACATGAAGTTGCTCTCTTGGAGCTCTATATCACATGCATAATCATTATATACCTACATTTCACAAACCAGGTATAAAAATAAATAAGATTTGATAATTTATTATAATCACTATGTAATTGCATTCGGCAATTTATAATATATATATAACAATAAATCATTTTTTCACAATTTGTAATTATGAATAAATCATTTTTCCACAACTGTAATTATGATCACGAAAAGGTGTTGAGCCAGAACTGTGTCACGTGACTATGACGCAGTAAATATACACGTTGCATATGCGACGAAATTGTAGTTATTATAATTCTGGTAAAGACGCTACGCGGGGAACAAAGTTCCCTAAATATACCACTATTCATCAGAGGGAAAATTTTCCATGATATATTTGACCTCGCTTCTAGTTAAGTCAGAAAAGCTAGATGCAGTAAACGATTTAACTCGCGAAATTTTATTTTTTGATTATAGAAGTCTCATGCAAAGTAAAGATGATAATTTCGAACCTATTGCAAAATTCCCAAAGTAAAAAAAAATTAACAAAAGGGAAGACTGCATCACAACGAAAATTAAGATACTCTATACTTTTTACTTTAAATGTTAAGAAGCAATCAATTTTGTTGTTACATCTGCTTATTGGGGACTAATAGTTGGGCGTATCCATTCTTTATAATTCGTTTTCGTTGGAAGTGGTGTTGTGCAAAATTTCTCGCCAAATATATCCACAGCATTATGCTATAAGTTTTAAATTAGAAAATAGTTTACACAAATTAGGAAAAGAGATATTAAAGAACACTAACCCGGATGCTCATTAAAATTTGATAAAGGATCATAATCTGTTCCAGATCTCTAACATTTTTTGGAATATTACACGAGAACACTTCAACCAGTAGATATATTCCAGGAGAATGCAATTCCATAACACACACTGACATTTTATAGCCATTGATAAAAATGACTATTCGTTTTGCTTCATGTGGTAATAACTCCATTTCTTGTTGGTTGATATTATAATCAATGTCATCTTTCGCATGTGTGGCACCACGATAGATGTCCCAGAAAGCTTTATGTGGATCATTTTGACGTTTCGGACTGGTCACTTCACCAAATACAGCCGTACGAGTTCCACTTATATTATTTAGCTTGTAATCGGGTACTCGACCACGACCTCGGCGCAATTTAGATGCATAAGACCTTATATCTATCCTAAAAAAAAATAAAATGAATTGTACATTGAGAATTAAAATACAAAATATTTATATATCATACCATGAATGCGTAGTTTGGTAATTAAAATAATGAATCGTCCTATTAAAGAGTGGCGCAATATAATCCACCATGAATGTTCCTTCTGTTAATTGGTCCATATCTACTAAGGAATTCCATAACACACATTCTTCCAACAGTCTAAAAAACGTCCTGCTTAATAACTTTGTACCAACTTGATTCCCAACATCTTGTTTAAGAAACTTTTCAATTTCTTCCAGACTACGTTGTTGATAACCCTAATAGAATGTAATATAAAAAACTATGAAAACGATTTACTTTAAATATAATATAAAACTTATTCACAAACCTTCTTGTTTTCTTTCACATACTCCTTAACTCCATTTGGAATTTCTATTATTTCGAATTTTGAGCAGACACGTGACCGAATATCAGCGATTTCATCTGTTGTTAGAAAACCAGTATATGCCTGCTCATTGTTTTGTTGAAAATAAAAGATCGACGAGGCACAAAGTATATTACAGATATTTTGCTTTGACGGGTACTGAATTCCGTAAATTAATTGTTTAAGGATATGCTGTTGCCATTTCAATAGTTTAACTTCCCAACCGTTAGTTCTTTCGGTCGTTTCCACGTCCATCTCTTGGATTTTTGATATTTCGGAGGGTTCAAAGAACAACATAGCTTCTTGCTGTAAATAAATATACATTATCAGATTCATGTCCCCTTTATATGACCATTGTATAATTTTTTTAATACCTCAAATTCTTCGTCATCAGTTATTGGTTCAGTATATGTTGGTCTTTTCTCAGTTCTCTAAATGTGGTTTGTTAGAATACAGGAATCAAATTATTCATTAAAAGAGAACTTGAATTATTACCTTTTTCGTGGGAGACAATGCGTTTGTATCATTTTTGTCTGTGAAATCTTTTCGTTTTTCCCCTACCTGCTCTGTATGAGCATGATGAGGTTGTACCCTTTCAGACTCGTATACTGTTGACTTTGCAATCCTCGTGCTGACAGCATCGTGTTCTTGATACACATTGCATTCAATATGACATTCATGAATAGTTTTTCGTGTCTCTACCCGTTTTTTAGCCATTTGTACATCCCAATTATCCTTATCACTCCAATATCGATTACATGCCCCGCTGTTTATTAGTTCATCAAAGCACTCGATATAATTTTCAGCTTTGCGAGCTTCTCTGGACTTCCCTACCCCACTCAACACCTTCAAATGAGACAACAAATCCGCCTCTGCTTCTTTTCTTGATTTGTAAGACTCCACATATTTCTTGTAAAATTTTACAGGTGAAAATTCTGACAAAATTTCAGTAATAAACTTCAGTTTACTATCTGAGTAAGATTCCGCCTCCAAGATAAAACAGAGAATCATTTCAGTAATAGGATTATCAAGGTTGTAAATGAAATCACAAACTCAAAAGACATACCATAACGTATAGTTTCAGAATGTGTAGTGCCTATTAAAAGATAAATTTTGAAGTGAGTAATTGAAACTTGTTAAAATCTTGCTTGAAATTTTGTGATAAAACCCCCAGAAATCTTTGAAGAAACCAAAAAGACCGGCCCACGATGACAATTGTGGCACACGACTGGACCAGCATAGTACCACCATCACCATTTTTTCGAACAAACTTCGTCGTGAACCCATTCGTGAGCAAAACCTACGGCTAAGAGCCAGTATGAACATCCCGGCTTCGTAGGCATTATATGACCAGGATACGCTAACATTTAGAACCTTTATGATTTCTTCAAAAACCGGCTCACGATGGCAATTGTGGCACACGACTGGGCCAGCATAGTACCACCATCACCATTTTTTCGAACAAATTTCGTCGTGAACCCATTCGTGAGCAAAACCTACGGCTAAGAGCCGGGTGCGAACATCCCAACCTCGTAGGCATTATATGACCAGGATACGCCTGGAGAAACAGGTGCGTTTATTAAAAGTAGTTGGCAATACTTAGCTAGTCTCAAATAAATTTAACGAAACTAATTTGCAACTTATAAAAAATCGGATCATAGTGATTAATAATACTTTCACATGATACCACTTTAAAAACTTATAACTTTATTAATATCTGTAAAATTATTTTTTTGCTACAAACTACAATGTAAAGGCCGGCCAAAAATAAATATATAAAGATAGAAGTATGGAGTAGAGAGCTAAGAGGGAGGAATAAGCCAGATCCTAGGCCCCTTTACATTGTAAAGAAATGGCTATTTCTTTCCCTATTCCATATTGTCTAACCATTTACCTATTTTATTAACTGTACTAGCTTTACAATTATTACTTCTATTATAAAAATTTTTAACTGTAGATTGTCTAATATTCCCATCAAGCTCGTGAATATGCACTGCTACAGAGAAACACATTTCATCAAATATATAATTTCTTTTGATCATGATTCTATCGAAGACTTTTTTTAAAGTGAACAAAATTGAATTCGTTCAGATTCTATACTCAGAAATAATGATTAGTAAATTTAAACACTTCAAGCAATTATTTTTTTCTCAAATAAAGAATGGATGGAGGATGATGATGCTTTACTTTATTGATCAAATTCTCTTTGTTTTGGATTTTGTATAACTATATAGTATCAATTAATTTTATTTTGAATCATTCCATTATATTTTCCAGTTAAATTACAGTCAAATCTCTTTATAATTACACCCATTTATAGTCATACCTCTTTATAGTCATCCTATTTTGCTTTTCCATTTATATATAAATACAATCAAATCTCTTTATAGTCACCACTCTTGAAAAAACAAAGTTTGGTGACTATAGAGAGAATGTGACTATAAAAGGATTTTTTTACTATATTTATATGTAAATGGAAAAGCAAAATAGAATGACTATAGAGAGGTGTGACTATAAATGAATGTGACTATAGAAAGATTTGATTGTATAGTAAAAAAATCTCTTTATAATCACATTTTCTTATAATTACCAAATTTTATCTTTTCAAGAGTAATGATTATAGAAAGATTTGATTGTATTAATCATAGAAATAATATTCTGTATCTCTATCACATAGTTGATATCATGAGAATTAATTTTTGATTATTGGTTTTAGCTTTGATTTTGCTGATTTCTGCATTGAGATTTTGTATAATATAATAAAAAAGAAATATACATTAATGATTCTTATATATAGAGGAGTATAATTGAAGAATATTATCATGAGAAAGAAAAATAAAAAAGTGATTAATATCATAAAAGATATATTTTTCAAGATATTAAATAAATACATTTGCAAAGAAAATCTAATTAGAAAATTAATTGTGAAAAAGCATGAATATTTTATTACAAGTAAATATTTCTATTATAGAATAATGAATTTTGTTTCTAATTTGATTAAAGCTAAGTAAATTAAGTTTCTATAATGAATTTGATAGGTTTATTTTCTTTATTATTATCACAAAATTTTTATTAACATCTTGTATTAGATTTGCTAATTTTGTTTATTTCATATAAAGGCTGGAATTTGCTAAAAATAAAAAAATTATGTTGTAGAGATAATTATACCAAAAAATTTTTTAGTACATTTTTATTATAACAATGAAGAATATGTATAAAATATAATTAATTGGAATTTTGATACTATGTAGATTGTAATTTTATTTATAATATAAATCTAATACTATTATATATTTGTAATTAATTAAACTGAAATAATATTTATTTTGCTTGTTATCATAATCAGATTTCTGATAGATATTATTGTAATATAAATGATTAATCAATATTGTCACCATTATGACATGTTATATATTATTTAGCTATTTGTTGACACATTATGCAAAAGATTAGAAAGATGAGCATAGTGTCATTATCATGAGGAGCTCAATATTTATCTATAATAATGATATTTCTCTCACATTATAATAGTATTTGACAAAGAACAATGATTATTAGAAATCTAATCCCTATAAAAAAAAATAAAAGACAAAAATCAGGAAAAAATCCGGTTTTTTAGTTCGGAAAATCACGGGTTTAGTTAACAAATTTCCGGATTAAAATCTGATAAAAATCTGATTAAAAATCCAGAAACTTTGGGACGCGATATCTCGCGAACCACGGATCCAAT